TTCTTGAATAACTTCTAATTACAAATTAAATTGGTATACTTACAGACATAACTTTCTCAAGAGACCGCTTAGCCGTGGCACTTGTGTTAATCAGCCCAACTAACTTAAGCTTATTTGCTATTGAGAAATCCGCTTTAGATTGGTGGGAAATTGTCTGGGAAAAGGCGGACCTCTGCAAATGGCAGCTGGCAACTTGGCCCGAAGCAACTTGGGCCCGTCAAAAGTTTTTGGCCAGAGCGTCAATGCTATCGTCATTTTGCTTTGACTGTGCACATGATTATTACACGCGCTCGTACGCACAGACACACACACACCTTACACACAACCCACACACACACACACACACTGTCAGCCCGGCAGGCTGATAGACAGACACATGCAAAGTTTGAACCGAAAAACTTGCCGCAAAAAGTTTTTTAAGTAAACGAACAGAGAGAGAGAGGGAAAGGGAAGCCGCAAAGGGTAAGAAAAAATTAAACTAAAAAGCAAACTTTAACTTAATGAAAATGCAATATTTGCCAGGCTAAAAGAAGATCGAGGGAAAAGTTTTTCCAGCCTGCCGGCAATTTATGCACCAACGTAGGCCAAGTCATGGAAATCAAAGACGACGAATCGAGTTTCAGTTTTCGGTCACTGATTTATGTCTTACAAAATCAAAATCGGAAGTAAAATAATATTGTTTAAAGCAAAATTGAAACTCTGTTGATTATGGCAGGAAGAAGTATTAAGAAAAAACTCCGAATCATTGAATGTCCCCAAAACCAGAGAAGCTATTCGGATTTAAGCCAAAGTAAGATGGATCGAGTGAATTCGGCTTTATGTGAAGCTGCCAACTTTGGGAGAAAACGAAATGGTACAAAAGAACGTGATTTAGGTGAAAGCTGTCCAAATACCTTTGAATCACAATGCTCTGTTAACTTTAACCCGGAAAAATATGAAGAACCTAAAAAGAATTCGAATTCTGAAACCCCAAGAAGCGAGAATAGCGAAAGTAGTGAGAATAGCGACTGTTCTACCATCGATTCAGAACCATATGAGAAATCCGCAATGGAATCGAATTTAGAACCATCAAAAAGAAAATATTGCAACTGGTTTACCCTAACCATCGATCGGGAAAATCGTCATCGGTTGGAAAAGGCCTTGAAGTTACTTGAATTCGTTGAGGGAGAATACAGTAACAATGACAGCGAATGTTCTCTGAGCTCAGAATCATCATCTTTAAGTCTGAATAATAATAATTATAAAAAATGTAATAAAAGACCAGTACTCCAAGAATTCAAGCCTTGAAAGATCAAGCATGTAAATACATAAAAAGACCTATCTACAACAATTTCAATTTGCGAGAAAGAAGTTTTAAGAATCATATATGAAGAAGAAACTGAGTTGGCCCTTAGAAAAAATGCTTATAAAAACATAAACATATATGAAATAATAAATATTTAACATTTTATAAAGAGGAATGTATTTTATTGTTCTTAAAAACAAATTTGGATGGAATTTTAATCAGATAATCAGTAAATATTTATTTATTTAATTTTTTTGTTAATTTAAAACAGAAATGTTACCTTTCCTCATTTAATGCGTTTCGTTTAATCTCTTTACATTTGAGTCCCTTAAAGCTTTAACTAAGCCAAAAAAAACTCACTGTGTTCATAATTTAATTATTACTTTTGGTAGCAAAAATATGAAATCCCTTTTCTTCATGTAACACTTTTATGCATTTTTTATGCGTCTTCTCATAGTAATCAGTTGCTTTTTTCATGTGTCTACCCAGTGGGGGGAGTTGGTAGAAAAAAAAGGGGTGCCGCGATAATCCAAATCTCATTACGCGCAAGTCGTACTTAAGATTAAAAATAATTATTTCAATTTCTGTGCCAGGCCATCGTCACGTAGTCGCACAGGTGAGCGCGAGGGAAAGCGGAAAATCCTGGAGGAGAGAGAAAAAAAAAGTGAAAATTCAATTAGAATGCGCCAACTTCATGTGAAACAGGCAGCCAGGCGAGTCTAACTGTCTGGCTCTGGAGTCGGCGTCTCTCTGTCTGGCTGCTCCAAACCGAAAATGCAATGCCGGCAGGTTGGATTACAGGTGGAAAATGGGGTGGAGGTTGGGTGGAAAATGTGGGTGGTGGTACTGGAAAGGCGCCACCATAGCGTAATCCTTTTGCCAGCCTGCGAGCAACCACAATAATTTGATTTTACCTTGCTTTAACTTCATGAAAAAGTATCAAGTTTTTTTTCTCCAACACACACATACACCCCATCGTGCTGCTGATAAAGTTTTTAATTTTGCAGCTGAAACTCATTTAGCGCAACGAAAGTGCGAAGCTGCGGCAGCATCAGAGGATGATACGTGTTTTAGGATCGTCTGCTGCATATTTAATGGCATCGTTCTGGCCCCAAAAAACACGCAAGCACACAAAAAGAAAAAGAAATCTTAAAGAGCTGCTGTGTATATATATTATATACCAGATTCTTCTTTCATTATATAAATTTTACCTACACTGCCTGCCTACGGCATTATAAAAGCCGAAAATCAACTCGGTGGGGAGAACTATGGGAAAAACAAAAATTTTTTGGCAAGAAATTGCTACACGAACTGGAAAAATACACAATCTACAAAAATTCATCTTTATTATGATGTTGGCGGCGGAGTTTCACTTGGGTAGAAATGCATTTAAATGAGGCTTTTGGCCGGGGGCACAAATTAAATTAAAATACTCACATATTTAGATTGTATAAAAATAAAAGGGGAAGTCTGTTTTTAAAGGCATAAAAGATACTTGCTTATTCATACAGAAAAGGTTTAAGATTTAATATACATTTTTGAAAATGATTTCTCTAGTTATTTTAATGATATATTATTACCTAAGTTTTTACATGAATTTTTTTATGATTTATTTATTTAATTTTAGCTCTCACTCCTTAAAATTCCATCACTCCTTGCAGGAACCCTGAATGCCATTGCTATTAATTGAAATCAAACACTCAACAGTCAGTTACAAAAAAGCTGTCGCTGTGATTGGATTTTCTAGTTTGGCTTTTTGATATTGATTGCACCAGGTGGCTGCGTTCGTCCTTGTCCAAAGGATACCGCTTTAAGGAGAAAAAAAATATCCATTCGCAATCCAAATATATATTTTCTGGGCGCAAGACAATGCAATTCAATTTTTTCTACGCCACACAAAATGAACAGCCAAACACTCGGCTGCCTCCCTTTCGGAAAGCAATTCTATTTGATGGTGTAAAACTGTTTGAATGTGAATTAATAGGATTAGAATGAAATGACTTTCAAATGGGGTTGGTTGTGGGGGAAGTAAATAAATTAAAGTGCTTTTTGCCATCGAATCGAATGCAAATGTTGATACACAAAAGGACTCCAGAAGGAGCACACAGAGCTGACAGAGTTGATATAGGAGCAATCAGATTAGTTGCCTTTAAAAAATATTTCCGCATGTAGCGGCAGCAGCAGAAGCATTTTAATTATCGCAATTCCCCAGGGCGCAGTTCAACTAATTGCCCTCCCAGAGGGTGAGATTTCTGGAATGGGTGTACTTTTCGGGGGGTTGTGTTGTTCCAATGTCACAATTAAACTATGGCCCCAGCCAAAGGGCCCGAAAATTTCCACCCAAAGCAGTGACAGAAATTTGTTTGGCTAAAATAATTGGAAACACTTTAATGTACATAAAAATACTTTTGAATTTGGAATGCTAGAATCAATATCAATATTTTTTTGTGACTATATATGAAGCAATCTATATTTAAGCAATGCCATACACATATTACGTTTGATATATCGGATAAGTTTCGGTCTATAAAAAACCCATAATATTGTAGTTTTAAAGGTTACCAATGATCAAGTATATGAAATATATTTTACAGTATTTGTTTAAAATATTTAATAACTTTAACGATAACTGCATCATTCTTGAAATTTCAGTAGATCCAATCTAACAATATTTCAATATAATAATGAAAGCGATATTTATTTCTATATATCATATATTTTTAAGCTTTCAATATATTTTTAAAATATTTCAAAAGCTATCTTAGAATTTCTACAATTAATTCTATACATTTAAACCAAATACCTTGATAAATTTATCCCTTTTCCTTAATAAATTGCATTAACAATAGAATAACAACATATATTTCCCAGTGTATAGACACACTTTTTGGGCCATGGCTTTCGTTGTCCTTATCAGTAACTCAAATTGGCAAAAACTGCCTCGGTACCCTAATAAGAATCCACAGAAAAGAAACAAAAAAAACATACCACAAAGCGATGTACAAACTGAAAGCCAGAAAGAGGCGCGTGTTGGCTTTGTCCTGGGAAAAAATTAGGCATTCCGTGCGAAATGTAGATACGAGATAATCATTTTAATAAATTTCACAGTGACAAATGACTCGGTCCCTCTCTATTTATCTAATCGTCCTTCGCCTGTAGTTCCGTCTCTATATATTAGTCCTTTGTCGTTGTTGCCGGAGGCGTGAATTAGTAATAAGTGATGCTATGGCTATGTCTTGACTAATTGATGTGGTTACTTATTTTTCCAGGCTGTTGGGTAAAAACATGTCTTTGAACTTTTAGTTGTATTTAATGATATAGAGCGATAAATTAAGAAAATAACACCACATTTATATTCCAGTCTTTTAAACTACCTAAACAAATATATAAAATGTAAAAGTACCAAGTACGTAAATCTAACATCATTTTAAAGGAATTCGGACCACATCAGGAGGGAACCCCGTTTAGGAAAACTAACAGAAATTAAATTATTTCTCATATCTCCTCCTAAATACTTCCTCTGTTCCGTTTTTTAATAATTCCGGTATTCCCCTTATTTACTGGCGTTTATCAGTCGAATTCGTTTGGAGAGAATATAATGATAAGGTCAGTTATTACTACCTTTACTAAATATATTAGTACAGGTCTTTGCAAATTCCTGCTAAACTGTCTTCATTTTTACGACTAAGGGCAGATAATGATTATTATTTATGAGATGACACAAGTACGTCTTCACGTGTATACAAAATCTGTCTCAGATTAGATAAATACGATAAGATACGAAAATTGAAAACAAGCAATACCATTTGTCTGTTAAAGAAAATGTTGTTTCAGTCTTGAAAGTCTCATAGACCAGTCAAGATGCTTCTCCCTCTTTTGTTTGCTTTATTAATTTCAAATTGTTCTGCCATCCAAAAATAAACGAAGTATGTTCTGTTTTGGCAATATGTGACAATATTGCATTAATAAGATCACAAGTGGCGGATATTCGGTAAGTTTTTAGTGTGATTTAATTTTAAGAAAAAAAAATCAAATTCCAATTATAGCGAGGAGCAAGAACGTCAGGCAAATATTTTGGAAGGTTCTGCTCTATCTCTTGAGTCTGCAAAAGTACCAAAGAAATTTATCACCAAAACAAATGACGAAGTGTGTTCTATTTTATCAATATGCAACAATCTAGCAGCTTTAAGCTCGGAGCTGGCTGCAGTGCGGTAAAGATTTCAACACATTTAACAATTTTATAAAAATATATTTGTTATTTATTACCCATTGTAGGGCAGAGCAAGAACGTCAAGCAGATCTTTTAGAGAAGTCCTGTAAGGCGGACAAAAATCCTCATCCTGCAAATTGTCATGAAGCCTTAAAGGAAACTCCTAAAAGCGGCGTTACTGAGATCCTTGTGCCAGAGTACAGTAAAAACCCCTTTAAGGTGGCCTGCGATCAGGAGACTCATGGCGGGGGATGGACAATCATCTTAAGGCGAACTGATGGCAGCGAGGACTTCTTCCGCGAATGGAAGGACTATGAAGAGGGCTTTGGCAGAGTGGATAAGGAATATTTCGTGGGATTGGCAAAGCTGCATGCATTGACCTCTTCGGTACGCCAGGAACTTCTGGTCATCGTTAAAGATGATGCTGGAGAGCGTTACGCTATGTACGACAATGTCAGGATCGGCGGAGAGTCCAACAATTACACCTTGGAATCGCTGGGATTTTATTCTGGCACCGCCGGTGACGCTCTCAAATATCACGAGGGAATGCAATTTTCCACCAAAGATCGCGACAATGACATTCACGAAACCCGTCACTGTGCCGTAGAATATACGGGTGCCTGGTGGTACCGTTCTTGCTATGATAGGTAACTGTCAAGTACTACTTTCATTTCTTATTTAATTTCTTATGTGTTGTTATTTAGCAATTTGGCTGGTCTCTATAGTAAATCGAGTTATGGTGGCACCATACGCTGGTATACCTCTTCACATATTGAAGCGCTAAAAATGCAATAATGATGATAAGGCCAAGAGCCGGAGAACCTCAAGGGGTAACAACTGGAACTCATCCTATATGACTCGATATTATTCGGAGAAGTTCTACACTATTGCCATCGGAATATATATACTCAAATGATTATCCATATATGTTTATAGGCATTTAAAATTGGTATTTCTGTAAATAAAAAAATACATTTACTAAGAAGAAATAATTATTATATAATATCTGATAAAAATATGATGGCTACTAAATAGGGTTTTTAGCTTCAAGATACTAAAATTGTTGTAACATTTTGTAGTTACTTAAAGTGCTATAAATATGAAATGGGACAATCTCCTTATTTTGAATTAAAAATAATAAAAATAATATTTTTTTAGAATACCTTTTAAGTCTTAGCTTCATTCTAGTAAGTGACTGTCTCGTACACATTTTCAGGTTTCTGCCCTACCGGAGGTTAGCATTCAGTCAAAACAGCTTCACATTGCAAAAGGTGTGTGAATCCTGGGATTTGGAGACCGCATAGGAAAAGGAAATGCTCCTGTTGGCCAGAAGCTGCTCCATGCACGATAGGGGCTCTGGGGATTTAGGCGTATTAAAGTCGGCACAATTGGCCAGGAGGAGAGGGTCCTCTCGAGACGATATAGCTTAAAGCAGGTGCCATTGCAAAACATCACACGGGCATCCATTTCGAATTGGGTTTCCAAATTGAAGGTGTTCGTATACCGATACCGGCATCTGAGAGACGGAACAGCTGCTGAGTAAGGAACTTAAAGCAAATGGCGGCCATGGCGATTTCCGGTATGGGTAACACTGTGTCAAAGTGCCCATTGCGCTGATCATAAAAATGTAAAACGTAGAAAACATATGTAAAATCTTCTAGAAATGTGTAAAACATCGATGTATCGATAAAGATATATCTCAGGGTTATCGGCTTATCGATAGTTATAGAAAATTGTGGCTACCGGCGACAGCTTTTTTCAACACTGACAGTTCCTTGCCACGTGCGTGCGACGCAAAGATATTATTTCAACTTGAGCTTACTTTCATAATTTTTGGGTATGTCTGACGTGAATCCAAAAAAAATTAAGCTAGAAACTGAACCGGAGGCACCACAACCTTCTGGTAAGATGGATTTTGAGAAACCCAGCATTCTCAAGATGCGACGCGCCGATCTAATCAAAGAAGTTCAAGATGAACGCCAAAAGAAAGAGCAGCTGATGGCGGACTTCAAACGTGATCTGGATGTGGTCAACAAGAAAAATGAGGTGTTGACCGCCGAGAGGGATTCCTTGCTGCAGCAAATGTCCAAGAATGAGGCACAGAACCAGCAACTGCTTGAGCCTAACCCGTCGCAGCCATCCGGGGTGAAGAATGACGACGGGCCGACCACCGAGATGGATTCCTTGCGGCAGCAGTTGCAGCAGGAGATCGCCAAGAGCGAGGCACTGCGTCAGCAAATGCTGAAGCACGAAGAGTTGCAGAAGTCCATGGAGCAAAATACCATTCAGATGCAGGAGATGTCGGAGAAGATCGAGGAGCTAACCCGTCAGTGCAAAGTTTCTGAAGATGGATGAAAGCTTTGGACCTACAGCTGGAGAAAATCAACTATGAGAACTCCTGCGCCATTTGCTTGTTGCCGTGGGAGGCGCAGGGAGACCATCGCATTATCTCACTGCACTGCGGCCATGTCTTTGGAGAATATTGCATCCTGCAGCACTTGGAGCGTAATTCACGGTGCCCATTGTGCAAGCAGAACGTTATGCTTGGTGACATGCGATATCTCTTTGGATCCCGCCTTATGCCGGTAGGACGTTCGGCTTCTCAAGCATTAGTGAATGCCCCAGCAGTACACAATGCTCCAGCAACTCAAGATGCTCCAGCAGGACAGAATGCTTCTGCACCTCCAGTTCTTCAGGTTCAGGTTACTCCAGTACAACCGTTTCGACGTCACTCAGCCCGTTTACAACAACAGGCAGCTCAGTTGACTTCACAACAGCAATTGCAGCCGGCTCTTCCAGGACAGCTTGGTCCACGTCCAGTACAGCGCATTCTAGCAGCCCTTCCACCGACTCCAGCTTTAGGCTTGGATCATGCTCCAGGGGGGCAATTGGTACCACAAGCTTCAGGATCTCAGATGAATCCACGTCCAGTACGGGTCCAGTATCTTCCAGGATATCAGGATGGTCAAGATCTTATTGTGCTGGTAGATTATTGACAACTTGGTTTATTCAAATGTAAAACAATGTTGAGCTTTTTGTTCAATTTTTTCTCCCTTCTTTGAATTATTTAACTTTCACATGAAATTATCCATCAACATCATTTCATTATCAATGTAATCAATATTTGGCATTTCCGCTTTCTGAATAACAAAAAAAACTGGATGGTAACAATTGATTTTCACTCCTATAACTACAAGTGATCTTAAAGAAAAATCTCTAAAAAGATTTAAACATAAAAGAAGCCGTAATAATGAATCAAGGAGCAAGATAAATGGCATAGAAATGTTAATCAAAGGGAAAAGTTCTGTACTATAACTTTGATACATAGAAATTGAAACAAAATCAAAAAGAACATTTAAAATTTAAATATTGATACTATCGACAAACTCATTGAAATGTTATTTAATTTTGGCCTGTATCCTTTCCGAGTACAAGAGAACAATATACTACAATTTATGCCTTGTAATTCCAAATAAAATCTATAATAATCTAAATAAAATAATAATTTATCTTCTATTTTTATAAATAGATATTAGGCTACATTTAGCAAAGTGTATAAAAAAGACAAGTTCGTTTATAGCTGTATAATAACGCGATTAGATACTCAGTCTTCAGCCTCATTACTTTAAAGCACTTTATTGTTTGGGATATAATTTTGACTGTTATTCATAAATCCGACATCAAACACACTCAACACACGCAGCTTGGCACATGTACATATCTTTCTGACTCAATAATGGAAATGAACTGTAGACTTTAGTTCAATTTCCGATGCAAGCCGATATATTTTAGTTACCACATAGCTATGAAATAATATTCTTAATCATGCTAAAAAAAAAACATATTCTATTAAGCGAATTCGGGTACTTCCCTTGCAAAGAGTTTTATGGATTTAACATATTATCACCTGCGGTGATATAAAATAATGATTAAATCCGTTTCTGAGAAGGCTAAATAATATGCGATTAGATAAGAACAAAACGATTATTTAAATGGCAGTTAGCAGAAACGATGTTAGTCTTCAAACTCATTTAAAGAAGTCAAGATGCTCCTAGGTGTATTATTTTATTTTTAATTTCAAACTGTTATGCAGTTCAAATTTAAACGAAGTATGTTCTATTTGTCAATTTGTGACAATATTGCATTAATAAGATCACAAGTGGCGGATATTCGGTAAGTTTTTAATATGATTTAATTATTATTTATTTTTAACAATTAATCGAGTTCCAATTATAGCGAGGAGCAAGAACGTCAGGCAAATATTTTGGAAGGTTCTGCTCTATCTCTTGAGTCTGCAAAAGTACCAAAGGAACTGATCACCAAAACTAATGACGAAGTGTGTTCTATTTTATCAATATGCAACAATCTAGCAGCTTTAAGCTCGGAGCTGGCTGCAGTGCGGTAATACTTAAACACATTTAAGATTTTAATTGATTTATCTGTTTTTTAATAACAATTGTAGTGCAGAGCAAGAGCGTCAGGGAGATCTTTTGGAGGAGTCTTGTAAAACAGAAACCGATTCCGTTCCCGCAAATTGTTACGAGGCGTTGAAAGACTCTCAGAGAAGCGGCGTTACTGAGATCCTTGTACCAGAGTACAGTAAGAACTCCTTTGAGGTGGCCTGTGATCAGGAGAGTCATGGCGGAGGGTGGACAATCATCTTAAGGCGAACTGATGGCAGCGAGGACTTCTTCCGTGAATGGAAGGACTACGAAGAGGGCTTTGGTCACGTGCACAATGAATACTTCGTTGGATTGGCCAAGCTGCATGCATTGACCTCTTCAGTTCGCCAGGAACTTCTGGTCATCGTAGAGGACGAAGCAGGAGAACGCTACGAGATATACGACAATTTCAGAATCGGGGGAGAGGCCAACAATTACACCTTGGAATCGCTGGGATATTATTCTGGCACCGCCGGTGACGCTCTCAAATATCACGAGGAATGCAATTTTCCACCAAAGACCACGATAACGACATGGCTATAGATTCGAACTGTGCGGAAGGATTTTCTGGTGCCTGGTGGTACCATTATTGCTTTAATAGGTAGGTTTATCAAGTCCAATATTATGTTCGTATTCATTCGACTTTCCTATTATTTAGCAACTTGGCTGGTCTTTACGACGAGTATCGCCTAGGATACTTTCGCTGGAATACCCCGAACTTCAATAAAGCATTAAAGACGCAATTATGATGATAAGGCCCAAAGCTAGTACCCTCTGAGGATAACACCTCTGTGTGTACCCTGAAAGAGTATAATAAATAATATATCTTTACAGTTTTTATCTAGATTGATTGCTTTATCTCGATCATTGAGAATTTCCAGTAAATTGTTATTCAAAATATTGGCATAGAATTTCTAGGGCTCAGTTAATTATTTTTTTGGGTTACAGAATTAGAATACCCTCAGCAAGTGTAAAGTAAATTAAGCGATTAGATAATATGAATGAATTCAAAACAAAATTCTGTCCGATTTAGGAACTGACTTGCCACAAATTAATATATTCAATGAATAAATCAAGCACTTGTTATAATGGTAAAACATATTCTAATTATATGAGTAAAACAACCATTTAATCATAAACAAATATATAGATCATTTACCAGAAATTAAGGTTTTTATGGTATGTTAAGGTATAATTTACGTAGCATGTGCAATTTAGAAGCCACCCAAGAGAGCATTTAAATTTGAAACACCGGATGGCGTTTTTAACAGATATAAAAACCATATAATACTTATTGATTAAGCATACATAAATTCAATAATAATAGTACCTCTGCAGGGTAGTTAATAAAATATAGATAAGTTTAAAGGGATAAGATAGAATTTCGCAGCATAAGCCGTTCCATGTGATTTTGACGTTTAATTAATGAAATGTTGCTTCAGTCTCTAAAGACTTAAGACAAGTCAAAATGTTGCTCGCTCTAATTTTTGCTTTATTAATTTAAATGTCTTTGCATCGAAACTGAAAACGAAGTATGTAGTCTTCAGTCGATTTGTGACAATATTGCAGAAATAAGATCGCAAGTGGCGGATATTCGGTAAATATTTAATAATTACGATTAAATGTATATCATTTTAAAACGATTTAAATTCCAATAATAGCGAGGAACAAGAGCGTCAAGCTAATATTTTGGAGGGCTTCTCCTTATCTAAGACAGGGCTTGAACCAACGGCTTTTACCAGCAAAAATAATAAAGAATTGTGTACTATGCAATCGATATGCACAATCTAGCAGCTTTAAGCTCGGATCTGGATGCACTTCGGTAAATATTCAATCAATTTAATTATAAAGTGATACAAATGTCTTCTTATGCACATTTAGCGATGAGCAAGAGCGTCAGGGAGATCTTTTGGAGGAGTCTTGTAAACAGAAACCGATTCCGTCCCGCAAATTGTTACGAAGCATTGAAAGACTCTCAAATGAGCGGCGTTACTAAGATCCTTGTACCAGAGTTACAGTAAGAACTCCTTTGAGGTGGCCTGCGATCAGGAGACTCATGGCGGGGGATGGACCAATAATCTTAAGGCGAATTGATGGCACGAGGACTTCTTCCGTGAATGGAAGGACTATGAGAGGGCTTTGGCAGAGCGGACGGTGAATACTTCGTGGATTGGCCAAGCTGCATGCATTGACCTCTTCAGTTCGCCAGGAACTTCTGGTCATCGTAGAGGACGAAGCAGGAGAACGCTACGAGATCTACGACGATTTCAGGATTGGGGAGCATATAACAATTACACCTTGGAATCGGTGGGATCATTTTCCGGTACCGCCAGTGAAGCTCTGAAATATCACGAGGGAATGCAATTTTCCACCAAAGACCGCGATAACGACCTTTCCATAAATTTAAACTGCGCAGTTTACTTTGAAGGTGCCTGGTGGTACAAGTCTTGCTTTCAGAGGTAGTTTACAAGTCCCATATTTTGTTCAAAATTAAATTGAATATCTTATTATTTAGCAACTTAGCTGGTCGCTATGATAGGTATCGCAAGGACCCTTACGCTGGAAAACCCTCAATATAGAAATCCATTAATGACTGCAATTATGATGATAAGGCCAAGAGCTAGTGCCCTCAGGGGATAACACCTTTGAAGGAGTATTTTTTAATATAAAACCAATCATCTGTAATGAAAACCCTGAATTATATATCTAAAAATTTGAATCACAGATGACATTATATCACAGATATAAACATTTTAAAAGAACTATTTAAATATATATAAATTCATTTATATAACTCAATATTAATAATAATTGTACCCTGCAAGGTATACGAAATATAAAGATAAGATTGAGGGATTAGATAAGAATTTTGGCAGCATAAAGCATTCTAGAGGATTTTGGAGTTTCATTATAGAATTGTGGCTCATTCTCTTAAGACTTTCAGAGAAGTCAAAATGCTGTTCGCTGTATTTTTGCTTTAATAATTTCAAATGGTTTTGCCATTGAAACTAAAAACGAAGTATGTACTCTTCTGTCGTTTGTGACAATATTGCATTAATAAGATCGCAAGTGGCAGATGTCCGGTAATTATTTAATACTTATTATTAAATATATCTAATTTTATAATAACTTAAATTCCAATAATAGCGAAGAGCAAGAGCGTCAAGCTAATATTTTGGAGGGCATATCCTTTTCAAGACAGCGCTGGAACCAAAGGCTTTAATGAAGGAATTGTGTACTATGCAATCGATATGCACGAATCTAGCTGATTTAAGTTCAGAATTGGCTGCTGTTCGGTAGATATGTAACCTTTATTAAACTTTTATAATTAATTGTATTTGAATGCTAATTCCAGGGCGGAGCAAGAGCGTCAGGCAGATCTTCTAGAGGAGTCCTGTGAGACGGACACAGGTTCTCGTCCCGCTAATTGTTATGAAGCTTGGAGGAGTCGCAGAAAAGCGGCGTTACTGTGATCCGTGTGCCAAGTATAGCCAGAAGTCTTTAAGGTCGCTTGTGATCAGGACACTAATGGCGGAGGATGGACAATAATCTTAAGGCGAACGGATGGCAGCGCGGACTTCTACCGCGAATGGGAGGACTACGAAAAGGGATTTGGCCTAGCTGATGGTGAATACTTTGTGGGATTGGGCAGGTTGCATGCATTGACCTCTTCGGTTCGTCAGGAACTTCTGATCCTTATGGAGGATTATGAAGGAGAGCAGCGCTACGAATTGTACAATAATTTCAGGGTCGGTGGTAAGGCCAAGAACTACACTCTAGAATCGGTGGGATCTTTCTCGGGCACCGCCGGCGACTCATTGACATATCACAAGGGAATGCAATTTTCCACAAAGGATCGCGATAATGACATTCACGAAACCATTCACTGTGCTCAACATTTTAAAGGTGCATGGTGGTATCGTTATTGTCAACTTAGGTGGGTATCTAGTCTCCTCTTCTGTTATTAATTTATAACAATTCCCCCCTTATTTAGCAACTTGGCTGGCGTATATGAAG